TATATATATATATATATATATATATATATATATATATATATATATATATATAGTATATATATATATATATATATATAAATAACGTTGTTTTTAATTATTTCTATAATTTTAAAAATTTTAAACACAAGTGCCGGTCGTGCCTAAACTGTATTAAATTGTAGGCGGTATAGGATGTTTCAAGCAAGTAAGAAAACCATATATATGTCCATCAATGGGTATGAATTGAACTGTGGTTATTTTATTGTGTCTGTAAGTTTGTGAATATGTTATTGTTTAGATAATTCTTAATTAACTTAATCAAACAGCGCTTTAATGATCCTGTCTTTACATATCTAATGAAACACTATATACTAAACGAAACATATGATTAAACTATTTTTAGTAATGAAAATTCCTTGTCAACAAAACTCAGTCTACATACTGGAAAATAGCCAAAACAGTAATAAACCATTTATTCTAATAGGCGTTATATAAACCCCATCTGCACTTCCTAAAACGACGGAGCGGCATATATAAAACACGTTAATGTATTAAATAATTTTAATTTATATAAGCATTGCCATCTAGTGACAAAGACACTAATTACAAAAATATAGTATTGCCCATAACAATACATAATTCAGGGTTGCCCAGCCTTTTACCATCCATGCCCCTCTTTAATAAATATGATTTCTTGCGCACTCCCTCTCTTATTTTAAATTAGTGAAAGAGTGAGTTAAATGACGAGACATAATACACGGATACACATTAAAATGCTATATGTGTTGTAGTAATTACATATTATTTACATTATTAAATATATGTTGAAACGCTTAATTTTCTATTACTGCACTGTTGACTGTACCCTAATAGATTGCTTCCCAAACAAATCATTTACGCCCCCTGGGGGGTGCCCCACACTTTAACATACATAACATAACGTTTTGGGACAACATGGGACCTATTGGTCCATCTCGGCTGTTCCATCCTCTGAACTAAATTATAATAATAGTTTTAAAATATTAATGCCAGACCTTATCATACTCATGCTGAACGCTTTCTTATACTATTCTAAAATTGGACCAGTTCCTTCTTGCCACTGAATTTTTACTTCACTTATCACTAAGAAAATAAAGTTGAACAAAGAACTAGCTTATCTGTTCGAATTGGTAGGGATAAGAATCGACACGTGTATATAGTTTATTTTTGCTCCTTTTCTAGCAATCAAATGAACTGGTATTTACTTTAATCTAGTTGAGCTGTATATTTCACTTCATAGGCATGTAAAATATTCTTTTAGCTTATAAGAACCACATAATTTGTGCGAGGCTAAATATGTGATATAATTTAGTTTCACGAAATGTCGACGATGTTTTCCGTACAGTATGTGATGCCGTGTGGAAATCTGCGAATATGAATGACGTAATATGTATTTGTTTTTTAAGTGTTATTGTTACTTACAACGAATTACCTGATTATTATTGTTAACAATATTTACCAACATATATGGGGTGACGCATAATAATTTCAAGGACGGTGTTTTTACCAAATACAACTAGGTCAACCCGTGCGAAACTATAAACTGTTACTGCGTGGTGCGTGTTACAATGGCTTGAGTACGTAGATAACATAGGCCTACGAATTTAAACTTCATAAAAGTTATTTTGGTTTTAATAATAATATATTTTCCATAAATCAGCTACGCAGATTACGAAAATAATATTAATTTTTGTCTATCACGTAAGGATATTTTACAAATCTGGAAGAAAAAAACCTTCCTACTTAGATCAAATTATTATTTCGTTTACCACAATGAACATTTTTTATTATTATGTTTCTTAACAAAAATACAAACGAACTGAAGAAAAGGGAAGAAAATTGATGTCAAACGAATGTGCATCCTCATTCATCCTGATTTTTGTGAAGTCTATGTCTTTTAGTCTCAAAACTACGTGTTGTGGTCTTGCTTTTATGTATTACGCAATGACGTTTTGTGAAAAATCGGAACGTGATGGAGAAAAATGGATATCATTTTAGGATTCAGCGTACAGGAATTACCATAGAACATGTAAAAATTTTAAGACAACCTAACCATCGCAGGCATGTGTAATCTGTTAGAGAGAATTGCGTAACAATTTACTATACGAGTATTTTGTCGTGTTTGATTGTTTGTTGTTAAGCGCAAAGCTACAGAATAGGCTGTGGTGTGCCCAACACAGGTATGGAAACCCGATTTTTAGCGTTATAAGCCTTCAGACTTACCGCTAAACCACTGGGAGCACTTTGTCGCGGATAATAATCATATTACATACGGATATTCTCACCTTACAGTCGTTACTTTATGATAACGTGTTAATATGACCTCCGATAATATCTCTGTATACAAATCTGGGTTTATAAATACCATGGTCGCGTAAATATGTTTTAACAAAAGCCCTTCTATTTGTGTAGCAAATTTACATAGAGAAGTAAGTTTAATTTTATACATTCAAT